GAGTGAACGCATAAGTGTTTTATTGAAAATTCATCGACAGATGTCATCATTCGAACAAAATGTCGTTCAAACTTATAATTATGCTTCTTGATGATAATGACACTGTTTTATCCTATGAACAATTGATTTTCGAACCAGTACGGTTCGCTTGTGTACCAAAATTTCACATTTATTTACGCTATAATACAAGACCAAAAATTCAAAACAAACATTATTTTGTTCGTATTGATGCTTTTTCTATTTCAATATTGAATTATGTTGGTTACCGTGCTAGTTGGTATTATAATATTCCATTTACATTTTTGCCTGTACATAAGATATCTCTGAATATGTTTATTCCAGCCGAACGTGTGAGGTGCGCTAATACTAAATGTGGTGAACATGGACAATGTTTGAAATATGTGAACCAAAATGAGAAATACTATTGTCATTGTCAACCGGACTGGTCTGGTCCTCTATGTCAAATACAAACCGATAAATGCAATCGTTGTTTACATCATTCGATTTGTTTCGATAACGAAGAAATATGTGTGTGCCCATTGGGAAAAACAGGTCGATCGTGCCGGGTTCCATCATCGGCATGTCAATCCAATACGTGTCAAAATAACGGTACATGCGTACCTTTAGATCAACGGTTGTTAACAAAAAATTTTCGTTGTTTGTGTCCAGATGATTATTTTGGTGATCACTGTGAAACACATCGATCAATTCGTCGTATAAAATTTGATCAGTCTGTGCAAATACCGCCGGTTCTACTAATCTACGCTAAATTCTTACCAACTAGTGATCCGATTATATTATTCAGACGTATACCATTGTATGAAAATAGTCTATCTCTTCAGCTCGATGGACAACCATCGATGGTTTTTGGTCTTATTTCACATGCTTATTATTTGATTGGTTTACGAAATGATTACGTACTCAATACAACGATCATATCAACAGCTGTGCGACTTGAAAATCGTTGTCCATCTTTCGTAGAATTATTTAATCAAACAATTCTCAAATATCATCCATTAAAACGCATTAAATATTATCAGGAGCCTTGTCAGCAACAACAGAAGTTAAAATGTAAGTTTTACCTCTCTGATTATACACTGAAGTCAAGCAAATTCTCTGTTCATAGGTTTCTATGATGAGACACAAATATGTGTATGTAATCGTCAATCGAATACAGATTGTTTACCATTTAATCATAATCGAACGTTTGATTGCAATGAAAGAAATTTTTGTTTGAATAATGGCGAATGTATTCAGGATGATAAAGATTGTCCTCTGAATTACATGTGTATCTGCCCAATGTGTTATCATGGAACAATCTGCCAGTTCGCCACAACTGGTTATAGTTTATCGCTAGATGCAATTATTGGCTCCTATATTCGTAATGATGGTGGCAACCAACCATTTATCATCAATTTAAGTATTGTCATTGTTACAGTTATGTTTCTTATAGGAGTCCCAACAAATCTGTTATCAATTCTAACATTTTGTCAAAAGAAACCACGAGAATATGGTTGTGGTATCTATCTGTTATCGTCATCGATTGTTAGTCTATTTACTATTTGTCTATTTACATACAAGTTTTTCTATTTACTAATAACACAAATATTTCTTGTAACAAATCGACAGTTTTTATTGCTGAGTTGTATTTTGATTGAATATTTATTGAAGTTTTTGCCAATTATTGTCGATTGGTTTAATGCATGTGTAGCCAGTGAACGTGTTTTTAATGTGCTACTCATGACACATTTCAATAAGAAGATAAGTGTTTGTGCAGCTAAATTTGTATCAATTCTTGTTGTTCTAATAGCGATTATTAGTTTGATACATGATCCGTTTAATCGTCAGATAATTGATGATTTATCACAACGTCGAATATGGTGTGTCTTACAATACACAACTGTCCCATGGTTAAATAATTATAATGTAATAATAAATCTATTTCATTTCATAACGCCATTTGCAATTAATTTCCTATCCGCTATTCTTATTATCATTTAAACTGCTGGTTTGAAATCGATAGCATTCACGAATCGATCATATTTAAACGTATTAAAGGAGCAGTTTCACGAACATAAACATCTGATTGCAAGTCCATTGATTTTAGTGTTATTTGCACTACCACGGCTAATGATACTGTTCATTTACGTTTGTATGAAATCTGAACGACAACCGTACATCTCACTAATTGGGTATTTTATATCATTTCTACCATCGTTGTCAATATTTATGGTATTTATTATACCTTCGATAACATACAAAGCAGTACTCGTTTCACTCACGAAGCGATATTCGAAGAACATAAGATGTTGACTTACTTATCAACCACTTCAAGTGTTTCTATTGTATGAATCGCTCTATAATCGCCGTACTATTTCAGTTAGATGAAACTTTGATGTCTTTTTTGCTTTCAATGAACACTATAGAGAGACAGATATAAAGCAAGAAATGGAGAAAAGAACAAATTTTATCATTTTATACAAAAGAGAGATTGCACTCACTATGAAATTAGTGTATATTCTGGCAACTTCCCATATTAAAAAGTTAACAAATTTAGAGGTATTTTACTCCAGTTTTTCTGGCAGTTTGAAGTACACTAGTTGTACTCTATGCCAAGCTATTTTTTGGAAAAAGGTCGCTTTGAGTTTTTAAGATATAGAGACAATGACGCTGAGATCATCAAGTCCCTCGTGGCCAAATATGACGAGCTCACCAAGTGGTTTGCTGAACATGACGTGATGATCGTGGACAGAGGCCCTGGTCAAGCGAGGCTACGAGCCACAAATGCCACCGTATTTGAAGAAAGGAATGACATCGCATACGACAGTTACGATGATGAAGAAGAGGAAGCTAATTAAAATGAAAACATTGAAAATTTTTTTTTTATAAAACGAGATTTTTTGGTTTTAAAAACGATTTATTAGTGAACGACGTTTCGCCCACAGTGGCGATTTTCAAGTTACTAATAATCTAAAAACAAAGGAACAAGTTATAAAAAATATATAAAGACCAAACAAATTAATAAACAATTGAAAAAAATAGAGAAAACAATTTTTTAAAACATAAAACTGGATTGATAGCATTTTTTTATATTATGGTATTTTTGAGCCAATATATAAATAAAACGAAAGAAAGACAATTTGATTTTATGTTAAAATAACTTGTAGTTGTGTGCCTTATCTATATAACATATAATCATAGCTTCGCTCTTAGACATCAAAAAAGGGCCGAAAACGTGCGGAGTCCTTATATTTAATCTTTAGATATTGCTCGATCGCTGCGATGCATCTGAAGTTGAAAGTCACCTCAAGCCTGGTTAAACAATTTGACGTTATTTATCGTAGACATATGCCTCTGCTTGATAAAGTCATTTATGGATCAGAAAAAATTAGTTGTTAAACAAGAAACTTTTTTACTAATTTTCTAATACTTCTGTCAAATACATGCTGAATTTCTAACTTATGGATAAATTATCGTTTAATACTGCGATGCAAACGTTTAGTGACTTTGTTTACGGCTTTAACAGAAAACGTCATGTTCTACATGGTACTTTTAAAACCTTGGGCTGAGATAGGCCAGTATGTTCAGGTTCGAGTCTAAAACTTACGGCAACAAAAAGTTCCTAGATTTGCCCTGGGAGAGATTGATTTTTGAGATTTTCAAGCTTCTGTTTAAGTAAAATTTTGAGATCGAACAACGAAGATAACAGCGATAGCTTAATTCTGTTTTCTTTCTTATAGTGCATGAGCCATGGTTAAAAGACAAACTGCTAATTGGGCTAACACTATATCTAATCACTTAATTAACAGAAAGAAAGAGAAAGTAGACAAACTAGCAATAAGAATAGCCGTTTCCGTGTAAAACGTTTAGACGAGACTATTTTTTAGTACTTTTTAAGCAGCGTCTCTTTCTAGACTTTCTTTTTAGCGTACCTGAAGTCTTCCTCTCTCCATCCTCGTTGTTTAACACTCAAGAGTCGCCTGCCGGTTCTTCTCTCACACTCATTTAACATTAAAAAACATATTTGAAGAAACTTAACTTATCCTTCGGTCCTTAGTTAGATTACCATATTTGTTCGAACTGAACATTTGTTGAGATCTGTGTAGACACTCACTCATCAGTTTGTCACACATACAAGTTGACAGTTGACAAGTACCATCGGCATCGGTACACATAATCTTATCTTTATGTAAGACGAAATCATATTCTTCTTCAGCCAAAGGATTTGCAATATTTGATAGAGAAGACCATATTATCACCTCACCAATTTAGAATAAATACTAATAGTGTGTAGCATTAAAAAAACAGACAAATAGAGACATAAGCACTATACAAACAGACACTAGAATAATGAAAAAAAAGGAAATCAACATGTAATGTACAAAACAATCTATCCCTGTACGACTAGTCACTTTGATAGCAACAATCATCATTGAAATAATATTGGTTTTGTAAAACGAAAGTGATTACTCCACTATTTGGTGATGACGCTACACTTAATTCTGAATCGCGTTCTAGTGAATCTTGACGATCGACACAATTATAATAAAAACAAACCAAACATATAAAGATAAATAACACAGCAATGAGAATAATTAACGAAATAATCATAATAATATAATTATAATTATTACTAAATGATGCTGATGGTGAAGGTAAATAATCAGTAGATAAGTAATCCGATACATTATATTTACTTAAGACATTTATATATGCTGCTATATAATTAAATACTTTTTTCTTCAGGACAATTTTGAAGTTTTTCTTCAGACAATGCTATTTCAGCTAAACTGTGATTTTTCAGAATATTCCAGTCACAGCATATCTTTAACGATGCTACTTTTAATTTGACAAATTTTTCGATAACCTTTTGATCACCGTCTGTAGCAGCAAATCCATAAAGTATTAAGAACAAAAAACAACTTTGAATTTCCATAAGGAGAATTAAAGAGTAGAGTTTTCACGTAGTTATAAAATGTAAGAATGAGTGTGTGCACCAATTCAGTTTATTTATAAATATATTTCGTTATATTAATGAGACGACAACACGGACGGTCACTGAGACAAATATATTTACGGTGTAATCAGCCAAGTAGAGAAAGTAACTAGATGAACGTGTTCATATATGGTTTAATCCAAAACGCGACAAAGTGTCGGCTATTTTAGCAATATTAATTTAAAGCACACCTTTACTTGAGGTTCCTTTTTAATTAGAAAATAAATTATATCAAATATTTTGTTTTGAAAATGTACTGAGTATGTAGTCATTGGCCAGAATAAGAGTGTAAAAAACGTTAAATATTTTTTAACTTTTGAATCTTCTTCTAATCGTAAAAAGAAATTCCCTAGTTTTCTGAATGGAAGAGATCTCTTCCATTGCCTAGAAATTGACCTAGTCCATCCATTGTCCTGACTCTCTAGAGGGGCTATCGATCTATGTAAAAATATTTAAGATTCGTTTGCTCATGTTTTATTAATTAAGACGAGAATAAAGGCTACTGTGAATTTCTTTTCTTTCCTGTGTGTTTTAAATTAGAGCATGACGTGCATTTTTCATTCCTACATAGAACACGTCCATACAAATACACGCAACAGCTTTTGCAAGCCCCAAGGGATTAGAAGCATCCACCTAGGTCCTCAGAGTCGAAATACATCTTGAGTAATCTGTGGCAATGAAATATTAGTTGAATCTTCACTAGATTCTGTAAAAAACGGTTGTTTCTAGTCACAAATTGAAGATTTCAAAAAATTCTTTGATCAACTTGGCTTCAACGGAAAGGTATGTCAAATCTGGAGTAGTTGCCTAATTCGAGTTCGAATATAAATGCATATTCTTTATATCTATATCTATCTCTATGAATATAGATCTACATCTATATCCATATACATACATAGGTAGGGATATGTCCTGTAGATGCAG